TCACTCATTTCATGAAGCAGAACATGAAAAAAGTTGGGTAGCATTACTAGGAATAACAGACTCAGTCATTACAAGTTAGGGACTGATGCACAGAATTTCCTTCAACTTTTAACTTATTATTTAAAGTGTCATAGGTGGATGAAGTGCTTCAAAAATGAAGTGACTAACACTCATGAGAAGTACCAGAACAGGTAGAGAACTGAAACCGACAGCACAACATCTGTTAATCGTGTGCCTCAACCCTATTCTGGCAGGACCAACTCATTAGAATGAGAGAGTAGGGCATAGCCACCCAGGGCAGCTGAATGTGTGAAGACATGCCATCTCTTCAAGATAGAGAGGAAATGCCAGAAGACAACATAAAGCTGGATTCTTATTATCCGTAAGGGAGGGAGGTGAAGTAGTTAGATCCACAATTTTTTCCCCATTGACTCTCTCCATAGCATGAGCTTGTATCTGGGCACTTTTAGGGACAGAGGAGCTTCTGAGAAAGAGCTCTTTCCTCTACATTAGATTTCACTGCAGCCAGTGAAAACACTTTGCTACATGGCATTTCAAGGGAAACAGATGGAGTAGGCCAGATCATAACTAAGTGCAAAACTTGCACACACACACACACACACACACACAAATAGATCTCTGAAAATATTTTCCATTACCTACTGTATACAGTCACAAACTACAAAGGTCTTTTTCACCTCCCAGACCACTGTTCAAATATACTACAGCCACCACACTGCTACATGACAAACAAGTTTATCTACTCTCAACTACTTTAGTAACCTCACTAGGAAAAAAGCCAAGACCTGCAGCATCCTTTGCCCAAAGGAAGTACATTCCTGTAGCTGACAAACCAGTTGGATCAGCGAATTTGCTTATCATGTACCTGTTATATTCGTTGTCCATACACTGTGTCAGTCTCTTTAATACGGATGTTCCAATTCAATTATGCGACTAATCAAGACTTACAAGTTATACCATTATTCTACAACAACCTTGAATCTAGTTAAGAATAAAAGGCTAACTAATGCTCAAATCAACCTAGAACGAAACTAGACCCTGATCTCAGAAAAATCAACTTGTCTTTAAAACTTATTGTGTTTACTATTTTTGATTTATGATTTTATGGGGGTTTTTTTGGTTTATGAGACTGTATATTTTCTTTGTTTTAATTTAAGACTTTAGCACCAGCAAAAGATGCCAGGTAGGCACTTCCAGAGAAGGAAGTCCTCCATCTACAGAGCAGGTGCAGCAAATACAAGTTCTAGCGTGCACATAAAAATTGCTGCAATAATTAATCTGCCTGGGAGGAAGTGTGCCTGATCAACAATGCATGTAGAAAGCAGGAGTGGCAAAAGAAATCGAACAGCATTTAATAGAGTTGCAGCAACCTACCTAGTAATTTTAGCAAAGGATTTTAACCTATGGTAAACAAAGCTTTTGTAAGGACTATGCTTAAGTCCCCTGTTCCACCTCCCCCAACCTCACATGCAACCACAGGCTGTAGTGACTTTTCAGAAATAGAGCCAAAAGGAGGCAGGCTCTGATACTACTACTTTCTCCTCTACCTCCAACATCTTTGCCTAATTGTTTGAAGGTCTAGACCAGGCAGAAATAAGAGCATCTCAACCAGTATGTAGGAGTCCAGTATAGAGGAGGAGGAGCCAGAAAGTTGCTGGGAAAAGTAATAGTCTGTGTGAAGAAGTGGGGGGAACTGGATTAATGAAGAAAAATCTTCAATTTTTGATTTATTTGGCTAAGGAGCAATGAGAAAAAGAAACCCAGATTTTGAAAGAAACAGGGCAATATACATATGCTATGCTCCCAATTCAGATTAGACCTATACTACCTGGAAAATTTAGAGCTACAATAGCTGGGATGTTTGAGTACCTTTATAAAGAGGGGCTCTAAATCCTACCTGCTCTGACCCATTTTATTTGAAAAACATCCTCTTTTCCCCCCTCTTCCCACCACCACCACCTTAGTACACCTCTACCCCGATATAACGTGACCCGATACAACACAAATTCGGATATAACACGGTAAAGCAGTGCTCCGGGGGGGCGGGGCTGCACACTCTGGTGGATCAAAGCAAGTTCAATATAATGGTGGTTTCACCTATAACGCGGTAAGATTTTTTGGCTCCTGAGGACAGCGTTATATTGGGGTAGAGGTGTACTTTCTCCACAGCCACTTCACTCTGTTCTGCAGAGACAGAACAAGTGAGCAAAAGAGCTGATATGAAATATATAAAACTCAAATTTTACCTTGCAGCACACAGCACAAAAGGAAACGTACCTAACAGTTTTGCAGAGGGAGACATTCATGTCTGTTGCAGAGTCCAAGGAATTTTGGTCTTACCGCTAAGTTGCATTCGTGGAAGGGGAACAATCTGGAAACTGGACTGCTGATTCGCTTTTATGCTGCTGTTGCCCTTTAGGCCCAGGGAACCACAACCTTCTGAAGTAAACCTGAGTTTGACTTAGAGGAAGAACATTTCATCTATCCTGGGCTCAAAAAGGTGCCTGAAGAGGATACAGCTTTTTGTTTGGTTTGGGGGTGGGGCACGAGGGAGGGGAAAGAATGGAAAAGGGCTCCTAACTCCATTACCGTGATTCTTGTGACTGAGTCTCAATGCGAGACTATTCCCACTATGCCCAGTCTGGGGTAGACAAGGCCAATAGAACGCTGCTCCTCGGAGGAAGAAAGGGCCTGAGCAACAGGAGGGGCACACAGGATAATTTCAGTGCTGCGACTGCTCCAAACACCTTTTAAGGAGTCGCTGCAGCTAGTTAGAAGTTTCCCTGTGAAGGTCAATCAGCCAGACTGATAAGCATTTAATGCCAAAATCTGCTTGGCATCAATTGGTTTGAGCCACCTAATTATGCAGAAGGATGGGGAAGCTACCCAGTTTCTGAATTCCACAAGCAAAAAGCTTGAAGGGCTAGAGAGGCAGAAGATCAAATACAAAGCAACAGCGCAACAAGCCAGAGGAAATAGGTAAGATGTTTCCCTCTTTTGGGGGTTGGATGCAAGGAGAAAGGGAAGAGGCTGCTGCTGCTCCTCCATGCGGTTTCAGAAATACTAGAAATATCTAGGTATGTTTTGTGGTTGTATGCTTTGGCAGTCACTTACCCTCCCAAATCATCCCCCACTAGTGTTAAACATGACAAGGCCAAGGCTTGCTTTCAAGTCCTGGGCAAGTCCTTTATTCTCTTTGCTCTTCACAAGGTTAACTGACACCTTCTAAATCTCTGCCAATCCACTGTAGTTTCCAATTTGTGTCCTCTACACATCCTGTTTACACGGATGACAAGAATGTACTCACAAAGAAGTGGAAATGTTAACTGTATCATGTGTCACTGATTGTCCCCTACTAGAAATTAATAGTTTGTTGGGTTTTGGGGCAATTATTTAAACTGAGAAAACGCATTTAGGGTAAAGGAAAGAATTTCCTGTAAATAACAATACAAGGTTAGATTATCCGAGCCCTGCTACCTAACATGTATATTTATTAGCCCACCTTTATGGCAACAATGCTGCCAGATGCAAGCTTATGAAAAGTGAGATGATATGGGCAAAGTCATGCTATTTAGACTAAGTGTCAAGACCAGCATTTGCTCTTATTTTTGAGCTCTTAGAGAAACTGCAAGCCCATGCCTCTCTCAATGTGTGTTTCTTACACTACTACATACATAGGAGGCTGGAATTTAAGGGTAGTTTGGAAGAATGTCTCCCACCAAAAGAGCTTGCCAGGAAGTTATGATGTCAGGCGAATTTACCTATTCTGCAATAATTCCAAAAAGGAGACCAAGGCACAGTGAAAAGGAATTCTGCAACATTCTTGTTCTGTCCAGCTCTATTCTCGGAATAGGTCTCACACTTTCTGGTATAAGGGCTGCTGTAAACAAAGACTCAGACACACCTATTTGTATTAAAAGATTCCTAAGGATTATAGCTTTTGATGCAACTCTGCAATAGTCTCTTCCTTCTACAAGGCAGCAATATCTAATGCATAGAACAAGGGACTATGGATTAGGGTTTTATTGCCAACTCTATCATTAGCCTGTTATATGGGTTTGCACAAGCCACCTAAGCCAATTTCTGCAAAAGCTCCTGCTAGTTTTGGTGTTCAACCTGAGATGGATGTTCCAAAATGCTGAGCACTCACAGCTCCCACTATTTCAACTGGAGTCATAGGCATTCAACATCGGGGGGGGGGGGGTGTAAGGAGAGAGAAAGAGAGAAGAGAAGAGGAGAACTCTAGCTCTAGGCACCTCAATTTAGATCCAATAATTAGCACCCATAATGAAGCACTGTATCAAGTTTCAACTGCAAGGAAGTTTGTTTCAATGGGGAAGTGATCATATTTTACCTGCAAAGCTACACCTGGCCACCAAGTTAAGACAACAATGTTCCCTCATTCTTGCATGGAAAAGCAATCCTTTGCCTGTCAAGCGAAAAAACGTATTCCTCTTGCAGCAGACTTTAATATTTCTCTTCATTCATCTCCCAAGATTAAGAATTGTGTCTTGTAAGTCAAATGCTGGAAGATAAACTGTATACTAAGATCCAAATGACCTCATTTTTGCATGTAAACAGCACAGGATAGGCTACACTAAAAGTTGTAAAACTGTAGAAAACAGGAGATGAGACCCTATTCTTACATACCAGTTGCAAATGTTTCTTTCCTCTCTTTGGTCAATATCAGTTAAGGATGAAGTTGGGCCAAATATTGTTTGGTAAATAATAGCAGTCCTTATTTTTAGCCGGGTATCAATGCAATACATACTGATGCACAGCAGGGAGCTGATACATGCTGATCAGTGTGGCAATAGGCACCTTACTGTACTTAACTAACAATCAAGCAGAGACACGTGTAGATAGAGGCAACCCACATGTGTCACTAACCCCTGGCCCTGCCTAACGACTGGGGTAGAAGAAAGAAGCAATTACATTTGTACTCTTCTCCGCTCCCCCCTCCCCCCCCCAACACTTACTTGGCCAGTGATGCCCGTGATGAGAGCCACCTTCCTGGGATTCATGTCTGCACAGTCCCCTACAATGAGTGCAGAGCTGGGACAGGCGTTCTGTGCCATGAGTCTGGAGGGGAGGGGCCCAGTTCCTGGCACTGCGGTTTAGCAGGAGTTGGGAGGAGACCGTGATCAAGGTGCAAGAGGTGGAGCAGGGAGTAAAGATGATAAGGAAAGGACCTGCTCTGCAGCCGCTTGTGGGAGGAGCAGGGCGGTCAAGGTGTTGGATGCGGGGACGTGGGCTGCTGGGGCTGAACGGGGCTGGCAGGGGCTTAGGCTACAGGGTGCTGCCTGGACCAAAGATGAAGAGTTGGAAACTGGGCTACTGCAAGGGGGCGGGGTTTGCCCAGGCTGCTGCCACTGCCGGCCGCTGGTACATTTCCGCGTCCCCGGAGCGGCTCCTCTCTTAAGGTGCAGCCGCACAGGTGCAGCCCCGCGCGCCGCGCCGATCCCGGCAGCAGCCCCAGGCTCGCTCGCGCTAGGATTTCGGGTTCGCGCTCCTAAGCATGCACGCGCTCCCTCGCTCCCCTGCTTGAAAAGCCGCCGCGGCGGCCTCCGCCAACCAATCAGGAGCAGCGTTGCTTCCTTAATGGGACAAGAGCTCTGGCACAGAACCCGGCAGTGTCGGGTGGTGGGGCCGCTGATTGGATAATGGGGTTAAGTGGGGGTGGGGCTGTCTCAGGTCTCAATCCAGCTCCGGCGGCAGCAGCAGCAGCAGCCACCAAAAGCGAAACCCGACTTCCTGATGCAGCACCGAGGAGGCGGCGAATGCAAGGAGCGACATCAGCCCGGCCGAACGGCTGCGCCTGGAGCCCACAGCGCCCTCTGCACCGTGGAGGAGCGAGCCCCTGCTGGTAGCCGCAGCAGTCAGCACCCAGGGAGGCACCACTCCCCGCTGTGATCAGCGTGCAGAGGCACAGCCCCTATTCCCCGAGCAGACCCCAGTACGGGACCACAGGGGGGAACTAGCAAAGGCAAAGGGCGGAACAACAGCAGGAGAAGTGGGCGAATGGTGCGGAGCGTCCCTTGCAGGCAGTGCCACTGCCCAGGAGAGGGATTTGGGGACCCTGGCCAAGGGCAAAGCCCCGGATGACGCTTCTGGTGCTGTGGGATCCCCCCACGGAGGCTACTGGAGAAAGGCACAGCTCAGCCCGGCCCCTCTTACTACGTATTCAAAACTCATGAGTCCATGTGTCAAGACTGATCATTTTACAACAAAGATGATCAGACTCTTTTTTTATTTACCTTTAAAGTGCCCTGAGTTTGCATTTTCAAGCTTTTTGCTATAACCACAAGAAGTGTGACCTTAAGAGTCCCTCCCTGCTCGCTGACAAAGAGCCCACTCGAGTCTAAGTCATAGCAGGCCTGCCTGACACACTCACTACTTTCCCAAACACCCTGTGTCACAATTAAGGCTACAATTTAGTCACGGGGGTCACGGATTCTGTGACGTCTAAGACTTCAGGAAGCAGCACGGGGACTGTGCACCCTTGCACTGCTCTTGGGGCTGGAACCAGGAGGATGCTGCAGCCCCTGTCCGGCAGCTGCTGCAGCCCCAGCTGCACGACGTCCCGAGCGTGGTGGGGTGCAGGGCTGCAGCAGGGGCTGTGTGCCCCAGTCCCGGGGGCCTGGGCTTGAGGGGGGGATTGCAGCCAGGGACACCTTCTATCAGGGGCTGCAGCCAGGGCAGTGCTACCTATGCCCCCAGGCTTGGGGGAGTAGGGACAGCAGCTGGGGCTGTGTGCCTTAGCCCCACAGCATCCAGGGCGTGGCAGGGGCTTCAGACAGGGCCACCTTCCGCCAGGGGCTACAGCTGGGCCCATGCAACCCAGCCCCGCAGCGTCCCAGGCTTGGGGGTGCAGGGCTGTAGCAGGGCCTGTGCATCCCAGTCCCGAGCTTGGCGGGAACTGTTCACACCCCTCATTACCAGGACCATGCGCTCCCCTGCGCTCCCTCCTCCCCCCCCCCCCACCGGCCCAGGGCTTGGCAGGGACTATGCATCCATCCTGCAGCTGTGGCCAGATCTGGAGCCAGGGCTGTGCAGCCGAGGGGGAGGGGAGAGGGGCTGCTGCTGCCAGGACTGTGCACCCCTGTGATAGCAGGGGACTTGATTTGTCAGTCCCTCTCTCTTACCTAGCCCTGCCTCCTGCTTACTTTTAGTAAAGTCACGTACAGGTCCCGGCCTCCATGTTTTTTTTTTTGTTTAGTGCCCATGACCTGTCAGTGACTTTTACTAAAAATAACCGTGGCAAAATCTTAACCTTAGTCATAATATGTTTCCAGAAGGTATTTTGTAAAAGGTATTAAATGTAAACTAATGACACACAGGGCAGCAATAGCATTATGTATAAAGAATTGTGTATGTATGCATGCTAAAACTACGTTCTTAAAATGTATTGCAAAGGCAACACATAAATCAAGTCTGTCCTAGACCAATGAATAGTAATTAGCTTATCTGCCTGGTTTGATTACAGGCGGAGGACACTGAAAGTACATTTTACATACAAGATAAACAAAGCATTGAAACTAAGTAGCAGCAGAGGAAACTACTTAGTGAGCACACCACAGGACCGTCTGCACCTGCCAGGAAGTAGGAGCAAGAGAAATTCTAACTGGAACAGGTGCAGAGAAGGGCTACTAAGGTCAGCAGAGGATTCAAAAACTTATGTTATGAGAGGAGACTCAAGCACCTTAGCCTAACCAAACAAAGGCTCAGGGGAGATATGATTGCTCTCTATAAAATAGATCAGAGAACTTAAATACCAGAGAGGGAGGGGAGTTATTTAAGCACCAATGTGAACATAAGAATAAATTGATATAAACTGGCCATCAACAAGTTTAGGCTTGAAATTAAGCAAAGATTTCAAACCATCAGAGAAGTGAAATTCTGGAACAGCCTTCCAAGGGGAGCAATAAGAGGAAAAAAACCTAACTGGTTTCAAGATGGAGTTTGATAAGTTTATGGAGGGGATGCTCTGATGAGACTGCCTACAGTGACATATGGCCCATGTGCAACTGCTAGCAGCAAATATCCTGCATGGTTGGAGATGGGGCACTAGCTGGGGAGGGTTTCGAGTTACTACAGCAAACTCTTCTGCAGGTGTCTGGCTGGCAAGTCTTGCCCACATGCTCAGGGTGATCATCCTATTTGGAGTCAGGAAGGAAATTTCCCTCAGGTCAGATTGGCAGAAAGCCTGGGGGTATTTCACCTTCTTCTGCAGCACAGGCAGAGGTAAAAGTAAGCTGGTTTGGTACCAGCAAGAGCCGGAACGCCGTACTGGACCGGCTTCCCCAGCCCGCAATTTAAAGGGCCCTTTAGATTGCTGCCAGAGCCCCGGTACCGGAGCTGGTGGAGATTTAAAGGGCCCAGGGCAGTAGCGGTGGCTGGAGCCCCAGGCCCTTTAAATTGCCTCCAGAGCCCTGCTGCAGTAGTGGCAGCTGGGACCCCCAGGACTCTGTCAGCAATTTAAAGGGCCCCGTTATGCTGCAGTAGCAGCAGCTGGGAGCCTCTGGCCCTTTAAATCACTGCCGGAGCCCCCAGCCGCCACTGCTACCCCAGGTCTTCGGCAGCAGGGCTCAGGTGGCAATTTAAAGGGCCCAGGACTCCACTGCAGTAGCAGCAGCTGAGCACCAGGCCCTATAAATGGCCCCTGAGCCCCAGGGCTCCCAGTTGCCGCTACAGCGGGAAGCTCTGGCAGTTATTTAAATGGCCCGGGGCTCCCAGCTGCCACTACCACAGCTGGAGCCCAGGGCCCTACCTCTTCTGGTTGAGGCCACACCCTTCCAGTTGAGGCCATGCCCCCTGCTCAGGACTCTGGAGTACTGGCAAGTCCTTTAAGTTACTTTCACCCCTAAGCACAGGACAAGTAAAATAAATGGTGGATTCTCCTGAAGTCTTCAAATCATGATCTGAGGACTGCAGTAAGTCAGCCAGAGGTCATGGGTCTATGCCGAAAGGGGGTAGGCAAGATTCTGTGGCCTGCAACGTGCATGAGGTCAGACTAGATTATCACAATGGTTCCTTTTGGCCTTAAAGTCTATGAGTCTAAGTCTTCCTGGCTCCTAAGATAAAGACTATGGCCTTTGGAAAATATAAGGGGGAGCAAAAAAGTCATTCTAGTTATCTGTCACTTAAACAAAAGGGGACAGGGCTCTGATTCCTGTGAAAGTTAGATCCCAGGACACGGAGGGCTAGAGTTGCTGATAACTTGATGTAAGTGAGAACGGCTTAGGCAATGATTATACCTTGCTAAAATTAAATTTTTGGCACTAGAAAGTGTTGTTTGGTTTATAACCACACTTGTCTCTTTTCTCTTGATTAATATCACTTAAATATCCACCCTTCATTAACAATAAAGTTATTTTTATGTTAAATGACCTCAGTGCTCTTAGATTGAAGTAAAGTGTGAGTCTTCAGCTAAACTAACAGGCTGATGAGTTATCTGTCTCTTTGGAGACAGCAAATTTAATTTCTGTGAGCATACAGTAAGAGGGACTGGACACTACACTGATGGTTACCTGCAAATCAAGATTAAGACTGGTAGAGTTTTGAGGCGAAATTGACAAATTGGTGTGGCAGGGAGCAGATGCACAGCCTAATCTCCTGCAAAGCTCACTCTTGCTAAGGCTGAGGGGTAACACAGGGGCTTAGAGGTGTTGGAGGCCCTGAGGAGAGAGAGTCACATTCAAGGTTGCTATGTTTTTCTGTTTGCCTTTAATGTACACTTGGTTCACATTTTCAGTTTTTTTCCACTACAACCACAGGAGTTAGAAATTTCCTTGTGTTATTATTTAAAAAGAGATAAATCCCTTATGATACTGTATGATTAAAGACCTTTTATATCATGGTTATATTCTGTACAAGACTTATGGAAACTGTCATGTACAATATAAATGGAAAAGTTATGATTTGCTAAGTAGGATTATCCTGATTAAATCTGTGCATCATCTTTGTATCCAGAGTATGAATATCGGTTATATACTTGCATCTAAAACATGGGTCATATTCCTCAGTAATACCTCTCAGATTTGCATCAGGGCTAGACAGCTACATGTTGATGGCCCAGTCAAGGACACTCCACTCTAACAATGGGCCATTGAAGAAATTCATCCCCTCCAGATGGCGCCTTGCTGTCTGAGGCATCCTCAGTAAGATCTAATGGCCAACCCCAGTGATTCTGCAAAATATATAGGGGCATGTGATATGCTCATGTGACCCTGGACTCCATTTTGGGCTAGTAACTTTACACATATGGGGGCTGTAGGCTTCATTTAGGGACAGTACATTTCCGTGCACATGGCAGAGGGTATAAATGACCTCTAAGACACCTCCATTTTGCCTCTTTCCTGCACTAATTCCCTGGATTGTGGATTTACAATAAAAAGGAGCATCTTGAACTATGGACTAAGGACCGTCCAATCTTTGGAAAGCTACCAGAGAGACTTTACAAGCCAGCAGTCTAGTCCATCACTGCTATAAATCTGATATATGTAGAAAGGATTACAAAGTCCTTATATGATCTATTAGCCATTTATAACTCTATTAGTAAACTTTTAGTTAGTTTATTAAGGATTGGCTGACTGTGTGATACTTGGGTAAGATCCAAGATTCAGATTGACCTGGATGTATCTGATCCTTTGTGATTAGAAAGAACCTCACATATCATTAAATGGGTTTTCAATATTCTCTCACTATATTAGAGTGCC